GATATCAGATTATCCATCTATAGAGATTGTGGACTGATTTCTTTGATACGAGGGGAGATTGGTATAATCCGAAAGCCTTGACCTAAAAAGATTTGTTTTCAACAAAATTCCCTTCCACATGGATAGACGTTTGCCAACGATGTTGGAGTGGTTTTATTCCAGTTTCATAGAAGTCCTTCTCTTGTCTGTTCAAAAGGTTCTCTCAACTGCTGCTATGACCTCGTTGGAGTCGAAATGGGTTCCGACTATAGCTTTGTTCATGTTTGGAAACAGATGGAAGCCTGATGGAGCCGGATCAGGAGGGTAAGGTAGGTGCTGAAAGAGTTCAAAGCCACACTCTTTATTGTAGTGATGGAAGAGCTCACCATTCCTCACATTCTCACGTCTCTTAGTCTTAATTTCCCGTATTAGACTCACATAATTAGCTCTTTTTATTGTCTTGCCCTTTGAAAGATACATGTAGTCCACCGTGATGACACCCTTGGCATCCCAGAAGACGGAGGCCATAATCTTTCGAGCTGATGGGACAGTTTTTGCCTACTTTGGTGGTGGTGGTGTCAAATACTTCCACTGATTTGTTTGTTGTTTTGCTGGAAGTGTTGAACCCAGTCACCGATTGTTGTATTAACCTTTCTGGGTCAGTTCAGAGACATGTTGTGACTGGTGCGTTTTTGATCAGACGTCAGAAGGTTTGGAACCCAACAAACGGATACCTTCTCCATTGCCAAAGTTTCTGTGATAATGGAATGTAGTCTCTCCTGGGAAATGCCTGTTTAACTAGCAATATCACGCTAAGTCATTTGCCGGTCGGTCATCAGCACAGCATGGATTGGCTGATTCATTTATGCAGTTGCTGTCGTGACAGGCCCTCAAACACTCTGCCACCCACCTCTTTACAATAGCAACGTTTTGAGATTACAGCATCCATGTGTGTGTTTGCGTGTGTGTGCACGTGCGTGCGTTTGTGTGTGCGTACGTGCGTGCGTGTGTTTGTGATAGTGTGTGTGCGTGCGTGCGTGCGTGTGATATGCGTTATACGCAACGGGTATCAGAACTTTTCTATAACGCGAACGAGTGAAGAATGGGTTATATATTTTCGACGTAGTGAGTGCCTTGTATGGATTTACAAATTATTCGACGCCGGTTGTATCAGCTAGATGTTCACTTAGCTATTTACTGTATTTTTAACCTGTTTTAATTCCAAGAAGAATGTAAACTGACAAGTGAGACTTAAAGAAACAATGTCTCTCTCGCTATAATAACCTGTTGGGAAACTAACAGGGTCAAAATGCAGTCTACATTGGAATCCGCAAAGTAATTACTGCTGATACGCCATAACACATACTATCAACAATCGTACTATGCCATAGAATTGGTGAAATCGCCATTACACATGTGGTTTGTAAAACATGTTTTATTATCTCGCTTATGTTGAATCACCCATGTACAATAATTCTATGTATGAATTAAAACAGTGAACAATCTGACGAGTACAACCAAATGGTGATTAACAAGTTCATGTAACCTACAAGTACAAATCAAATGTTGCAAGGGTGGCACGTCATAACCATCATCTACATATAACAACAGTCTCTTTCAAGTCCGATATATATATATATATATATATATATATATATATATATATATATATATATATATATATATACATATACATATATATACCCAGAGGGTACATGCCGTGAAGCTATGCATGTGTGCACATTTTCATACATTTCATACAATAAAGATTCTGTTCAATTTCATGCTTCAATGACTCCTCATGTAATGTTTGAACAAACTTCGAGTAAAATATATCATCATACCATGACTGAATGATAACTTACAACGCATCTGTGACGTCATTCTATTGTTCAAACACTCCATTAGTTTTCAGGAATAGACAGTTGTTTGTCATTTATCCATTATCTTGAACCAACATTTCAATTAATTTACATTTGTGATAAACGAAACTATTCATTTATAGATAGACAAGTGAATGACTTCAAAGTTTGTCACCAGCGGGGTTCGATCCCGCATCGTTTGATTTGAGGACGTCTAATTGTCGACCGCAGCTACGGCGACACATGACAGTACAAGTGTGAAACTAACTATTAACTATTTTCAAATATTTGCATTATCAATAAGCGCTAAAACAAATATGAACAGAATCTTGTGTTACAGCAGAGTGCCTATAACAATTAGGTAAACACTTTGACGAGACAAATGTTCAGATAAACATATGTATCCTTGTTCAGGGCTCTACATTTGCTAAAATATCCGTCAGAAATTATGCCGAGCCGTGTACCATGCATTGTGACTATCAGCTCGCGACGGAGCTTTGTGCACGCGCAACAGCGGCAGAGAACGTATTCCTCGCAAGGACGACTCGTACAGTATAAATAAGTCTACAAAGAGTTCTGGTTTATGTTTCAAATATTTTTTCACAAGAGATTGTTTTGTCAAAGTGTAAAAGTACGGGTGTGCTTTAAGAAGGGGAATTTCCTCATTAGTCTCCATTCCTTAAAATATGTGTAAGGAATGGGGAGTTATTCGGACATAAAGGTACTGTTATATGAGAGATAGGTATGACTAGTCCATAGGTGGCGTTCTCACTTTGCCAGCAGCTATTATTCTAGTTTAAAAATCAGTAGCCCGTGATAATCCCTACAACAATGGGGATTAACACTATAGACTGTTTCACTTTCACAGACTGGCTATAGCCAGACTACAGCCTGTCTAGGTAGATATAACATAAAAAATGTATGTAGTAGTATAGGTTTTTATTAATTATTAATTAAAAATTACATTTATGTACAGATGTACAAATTTTCAAGACAATATAATACAGTAGTTTGTATTGATACAAAAATTGTATGTAGTAGTTTAGTTTTTTTATTAATTATTAATTAAAAAATCCATTTATGTCCAGATGTACAAATTTTCAAGACAAACTAATACAATATAGCTTGCAAAATTTATGTCTGGCTACAGCAAAATCACTTAGAGTCCGACCTCGGAACATCTCAGCTCTAAAAATAAAAGTATTTAATTAATAATTGATTTAATGGAAGCTACAACACAAACAAAATACAAAGATATCACCAGATGGTTACAGTAGAAACTGAAAATTACTGAAATTGTCATTTGTTACACCTACTGTTCAGCTCTTCTTGATAGATACTAGGCACCGGCCTAGGGTCAACTTGAACTTTATCTTTTATGGAGGCAAGGAAGACGTCGACTTTCAACTTGGCTTCATCGGGAAGATGGTTATGAATGTTCCTGTAGGTGGTGATGAGATTGTTGGCAGTGTTGATGGTTGCAGGACATCCGGCCTTATAACACCTCCAGTGCACTGTGTCTCGTCTTCTTGTCTTGACTCTGAACTTATGTCCACCATACACTAAACTCTGTCCATCTCGCGAATTAGGGATGAACTTAACGTTTACCTGTGCATTTGCCATTTTGCAATAAATTCTCAAATGGCACCTCCATATATATACAGTGTATATACCCGTTATTTTAAACTCTCTCAATTTGTCTGTTTGGAAAAGTATAGTAATCAGTGATTTATGTTCACATCAAATAATTTGCCATATCTGTTAAGCTGAACACAGTTCACTTCACTAGTTCAGTTTGGCTCACAGTGGGTCACAGCTAAGTCATCAAGTAGCTCAGATAATTAGAACAGGCTATAGCTGGCAAGTCACTGGACCGTACAAGTTAATCTCCCCAGCCTGCTGGCAAAGTGAGAGTAAACCCTCTAGACTGTGACCTTTGGAGTAAACGGTTACCACGTCATTGTGCATACAATGAGTTAAGCCCACTGCAGAAATTACATTGTTAACAGGGCCGTAATACCATACTCGCCAATGCTACTATGGACGGTTTACTCTCACTTTGCCAGGAGGCTGGGGAGATTAACTTGTACGGTCCAGTGACTTGCCAGCTATAGCCTGTTCTGATTATCTGAGCTACTTGATGACTTAGCTGTCTACACCCCGTCTAGAGTGAGCAGCGTAACTTTCCATCCTATCTTATGAATAACGAGAGCTGTTTGCAGAATGCAACGAGTGAGGCAAATAAAGAAGTGTCGAAAAGAGTAACTGTCAAACAGAACATGCATGTTCATCTTAGAATTTGTACCGACGATAATATAGTTGATATTATTTTACAGAAAAATCCTAGTCACTTACTTCTGATGTTCAATTTCATTTGAATGCTATTTTCACTTATGTCCTGAACTATTGTTTCAATGAAACATCATGGCGCTATTGCCTAGTCATTATGCATACTGTATTTATACTCCCTGGTCTTGTGTAACGCTGTCATAGGTAGAAGGAGGGATCTTGCTTTAACGAAATAATAGGTGAGGGCTGACGCCACCTGGTGCAATTCTCTGTCCAGGTCTAAACGTTGTAGTGCCATTTTGTCGGTGTAAAGTTAGTGTCATGTGTGAAAGTGAGACATTATCTCTGTGTAATAAGTATCATGTGTGAAAGTGAGACATTCTCTCTGTGTAGCTAGTGTCATGTGTGAAAGTGAGACATTCTCTGTGTGTAGCTAGTTTCATGTGTCAAAGTGAGACATTCTCTCTGTGTAGTTAGTGTCATGTGTGAAAGTGAGACATTCTCTGTGTGTAGCTAGTGTCATGTGTGAAAGTGAGACATTCTCTGTGTGTAGCTAGTGTCATGTGTAAAAGTGAGACATTCTCCCTGTGTAGCTAGTTTCATGTGTCAAAGTGAGACATTATCTCTGTGTAATAAGTGTCATCTGTGAAAGTGAGACATTCTCTCTGTGTAGCTAGTGTCATGTGTGAAAGTGAGACATTCTCTCTTTGTAGCTAGTTTCATGTGTGAAAGTGAGAAATTATCTCTGTGTAATAAGTGTCATCTGTGAAAGTGAGACATTCTCTCTGTGTAATAAGTGTCATCTGTGAAAGTGAGACATTATCTCTGTGTAATAAGTGTCATGTGTGAAAGTGAGACATTCTCTCTGTGTAGCTAGTGTCTGTGTGAAAGTGAGACATTATCTCTGTGTAATAAGTATCATGTGTGAAAGTGAGACATTCTCTCTATGTAGCTAGTGTCATGTGTGAAAGTGAGACATTCTCTGTGTGTAGCTAGTGTCATGTGTGAAAGTGAGACATTCTCTGTGTGTAGCTAGTGTCATGAGTGAAAGTGAGACATTCTCTCTGTGTAGCTAGTGTCATGTGTGAAAGTGAGACATTATCTCTGTGTAGCTAGTGTCATGTGTGAGAGTGAGACATCCTCTCTGTGTCATTAGTGTCATGTGTGAAAGTGAGACCTTCTCTCTGTGTCATTAGTGTCATGTGTGCAAGTGAGACATTCTCTCTGTGTAGCTAGTGTCATGTGTGCAAGTGAGACATTCTCTCTGTGTAATAAGTGTCATGTGTGAAAGTGAGACATTCTCTCTGTGTAGCTAGTGTCATCTGTGAAAGTGAGACATTCTCTGTGTGTAGCTAGTGTCATGTGTGAAAGTGAGACATCCTCTCTGTGTCATTAGTGTCATGTGTGAAAGTGAGACCTTCTCTCTGTGTCATTAGTGTCATGTGTGCAAGTGAGACATTCTCTCTGTGTAATAAGTGTCATGTGTGAAAGTGAGACATTCTCTCTGTGTAGCTAGTGTCTGTGTGAAAGTGAGACATTATCTCTGTGTAATAAGTATCATGTGTGAAAGTGAGACATTCTCTCTGTGTCATTAGTGTCATGTGTGAAAGTGAGACATTCTCTCTGTGTCATTAGGTACATGATTCACTGCTAAATATCTTTAATCCATTTCGAGTAAGCATACAAAGTGGTATTTTATAATCTTGAATCAAACTCGGTCACAAAAATTACACAGTACTGCTTTCCCGTATTAATCAATAATTATTATTTAGCCGTTCTATCTTGTTTTAGTATCTTTGATCATGTCATGTGTTGTGAACGACTTCTTCACAAAGTGTTCTCTATAGCTTAATAATAAACAGTTAGCTCTTTACATATCACCATCTACCATTCTAAATGAACGTTTGTGAACAAGTGCTTTGTGCAAGTATACTACAAACACAAAGTTGCATTCTACATGATGTAGAGTGTATTCTGATTGTTCAAGACGTTGTCAGTTATCGTAGAACATTGTCACCAAATTGTACACAGGTTGTACATGTGCCGTACATCTGACCTGTACCGTTGCTATTACATTCAACATGTTCAGATTTAGAGATTTTCGTATACACGAACGATTGAATTAAGCAAAATTAATATTGAGCTGAGAACAAAACTCTAAGAAGTAAGTATATATCATTTTACTATTATTGCATACAAACAATAACATAATGCATTATGTTGCGTATTTATGTTGATGGTTTCTTACAAGTTTGACGAAAAAAATTCAATGGAAATGATCATTTTGTTAAAAGAAAATTCCATTATATGACGTTTAAGGGCTACATACAAAGCATACATGCAGCTGTTTACTGTGAAGCGACAATTCTGAATCATATCAAGTGTACATATTAACAACTAATGATGCCTAAAACTTTGTCGACTCTTCCTGATAAGAGGTTTGTTTTTCATATCCATACAAGAATTTGTCTGGGTCCTGGGAGTAAGGGACATAACCGCTATCTTGATCTTCCATGTGACCTTCCGGGCCGCCATCTTTAGATATCGGCGGTTTGTCTGCACTGCTGTCCATCCCAAACGCCGTCTTAGATTCAGTCGCAAAGCCAAGATTATTTCTGCCTGTTGTAGACACGTGAAGATGTGTGAAGGTACTCAAGTTACGTCGCTCTCTCCATTCTTCTGTATGCTTGTTGAGTACAACGACCCTCTGTTGATGACAGACAAGAGGTTATACTAGCTAACGGAGTTAGAGCAATGCTAGCTAACATTAGAACCTACAATACATCAACTACAACCTTGTCAAATTCGATTTAAATCACTTGCTACGCTCTGTGTACTCAAACAATAATCCCCTCGTGAACACAGTTCTTCAAAAGAAAGATTCGGTTCCTCGGGCCACACCTAATTCAGTCGAATGGTGTGATTCGGGCAATTGTTAACTATAACACTGATTTACTCCATTCACAGGGAAAAAAGTCTTTCAATGAGTGTAATCAAGATTGCTAGGACTGTCAATTGACTGAGTCAAGTTCCCTATATCTATATTTTAAACAAACAAAATTCTTATCAAGACCTGAATCTGAGCTTCAAAACGAGTTAACACGCCTTCGTATCTCAAAATAGTCATAAGTCAAGCCCGTGTCGTTGCCCCAATAAATAAATTAATATATTTCTCACCTGCCAAATGCCTTTAGGACAAGTGTACCACAGGAATGCTATGACAATGATTGCTACCGGAGACATGGCAACAAACCAACCAATCACCTCCGCCCATACTGGTTCTCCTTTAGCTGTTAGAGGTTCATATTGGATGCCTTTGAAAACGATCACGGCCTGAAATATAATTTACATGTCTTACACACAGTAATGCTATGACATCCTCTAAAGCCTGTTCTGTCCTTTGTGATAGGGAGTATGGTTCATTTATCTACGTCGGCTATACGTAGAAAAGTCACATGACAAATGGTGTAGACGTCTACCCCTTTGTTAAACCCGCGAGCCTGCATAAGGAGATGCCAAACCTACTATGGAAGAAAAGTATACTCAACACCATGGCAATCAATAATAAGTTTACCCTAACCAATTTAAATGAAGCGTAATTGTAACATGGTCTTCTACTCACCAGAATCAGTAGAGGCGATATGACCATCCAGCACACGGTGAAGTAAATGTAGGGCTGTCTCCCCACCATGGCTTCTACGTCCTTGGCAAAGCTTCTGTAACCTGAATGGAGGAGACAAGCCTGTGTAATAACCTCACTAAGATCAGAGAGTCCCTTCACCCAAAGACTGAGACGGTTACCTCGTGTTGACGTTAATACTTATATATGGAAAACAATAGAAAACAAGCGTTTCTTTTTCAGCTCACGTCTATGTTTGCTCACCCCCTTTCTCTTTCATTTATAGAATCCGCTCTTGTTCTGGGGTAGACAAAAAAGATCATGCAGGTGTATATTTTGCAACAAATAATGGAATATTATATCTGAGACTATGTCACAGAGGTAGTGTTTTACGGAACCTACTTCAGGTGTAAAAGATAGGAATTTTACGCTCACACTTTGGTTGTATTCTTTCTGGCACATCTACATGAAAGTATGTATATCAAGATATGTCTCATATCCTTTCTAATTTTTCTGACATCTATGTGACATAACGTGTTTCATGGTATTTCTCATACCCACTCTTTTGTTTCTGACACATCTATATGACAGAATGCATACCAAGATATGTCTCATATCCTCTCTATATGACATAATGTATTTCATGGTACGTCTCATCCCCATTCTATTCTTTCTGATACATCTTCGTGACAGTATGCATATCAAGATATGTCTCCTCTCCACTCTATTGTTTCTGACACAACAATATGACAGAATGCATATCAAGATATGTCTCATATCCTCTCTATTTTTTCTGACACATCTGTATGACAGTATGCATTTCGTGGTATGTCTTATCCCCGCTCCATTGTTTCTGACACATCTATATGGCAGAATGTATTTCATGGTACGTCTCATCCCCAATCTTTTCTTGTTATTTTTACACTTTCCGATTCAAGAACTATTTTGGGTCAACTATTACATAACTGACTCCCATGTGCATATATGATTGTGTACTCTTCGCAGACGCGAAAGAACGACGTTGAAAATATTTATGTACTGGATGTACACCTAAAGATTGTTCTAGGGGAGACGAAGGGAGTGTTAACTTGAGTTTAACTAACCTATTCAAAACTGTTTTGCTCATGTATATACTGCATACTCACAACTCTATAAGGGAAAACATAATATTGATCTACCTATCTCTTCAATTCGTGTTTTCAAAATTCAGATGATAAAGTAGTGGAGAAATGGGCGTCGGTGCTAACACTTCTCCATGTCAAATATAATATCTAGTTTTATATTTGGCAAATAAATTATGATTACACAAAATATATTTATAATGGCATGATTGTTCTGAGATGAATTCTTAAAACTGATATCAACCTTCACGTTTAACCAAATCAATTTTCATGACGATTACGCAGTAGTCTGTCTGTCAGTCGTGTATTGGCGTCAAGGACTTTGATATTGCAAAGGTCATGTCGGTAAACATAGACAAAAATAACAGCTCTCTGGCAGGGTTAGGGACTTAAGGTTTCTTGGGAAGGTGGCGTATACTTATCTGATGATGAGCATAAGATCGACTGATTTTGATTTAAGAGTTTCTTTAAATTATAGTTTGCCACTATTGGAAAACAAATAGTCATGATAAAATGACGAATCACCCTTTCATTGAAGTAAGAAGATATTGCTTAATCACTATGATCCGTTTATTGCTGAAACATTCTGGCTTATCCATAAACTTCCGAAAGTTTAATAACAAGATGAAACAGACTGTTGCTTCTCTTCTGAAGCAGGAGGTTTTTTCAGGCATGATGGAGATATATATCTCTCGCAAGACTTAAATGCTAAGAACGAATATATATATATATATATAAGTGATAATAAGCTTATTTTGTAGAAAAAGTCAAATACACCGAGAAAGATGTAAGATAATGATGTATTGCCCTCTGCCTGCAAGTAACCATGTACGCTTTGCTGAAGTTTTACTTTGCACATGCTACTATGTGATAACAGGCAGCACCGCCATCATTTTAGTAAATTGAGAGAAAGACCGTGTACATACATCTACATTAAACCATGTAGAAATGTAGAAGCAATGCATTTCTTGCCATCATGGTAAGTCGAACAACATGTGTGAGAGAACCAGTGGGAGCGTCGGTATGAATAATATTTCAGTCATGCTGCTGCGTGTCAGCTTGTGGGAAGAAAGTCGGTGTGATGTAGTTTTTAGAGGTTAAACATTCGAACATTCGAACCTAAGATGAAAGGATCCAGGCACGCCTTAGGGGCGCGACTGAGCCACCGCGATAAATGACAAAACATGACGATACATGATAAACAATTATTTTCGAACGGTGCCTGTACATGTTATTTCTCACCGTAAATGTAGCATATGGCAATCAGTTCGAAGAAAGCAATGAAAAGTGTCGGGAAGCCCAGGATGTAGGTGTCCACAAGATCCAGCAGATAGGCCCCACTCTACAATACAAACAGACAGGACCATCTCAACAATTAAAAAGATACGTTTCACTCTACAATTACACAGATAGGACCCTCTCTATAATTAAACTGATCGGGTCTACTCTGCAATTAAACATATAGGATCTACTATGCAATTAAGCAAGATAGTACCCGCTCTACATTTATAAGATATAATCAACGCTGCAATAAAACAGGTAGGATTCACTCTACAATTAAACAGTAAGGATCCTCACTATAATTACACAGATTTGACCCGCTCTACAGTGCAAACCGATAATATCCTCTCTATATTTAAACAAATAGGATCAACTCCACTCCGTTAAGTATATTATACCTAAGGGTTGCACAATCGTTGTTATAACTTTGACGTCATCAGTTGTTAATGTCTTCACAAATTGATTACGTAAAGTCTACCATAATAGTGGATTTTTACCTTTTAGTTTCTTTATCAGTGAAAACCATGATTCTGGAGCCCTGTATAATCGGAAAACCCCGCCTACTAGACGATTACTGGTGGGAATGTCTACATGCACAAAATACACATTACACAGTACCCTGGTGTGTTGAGCGAGACAATTTTACTCCAGAGAGACTTCCTGATGAACAACGTTTCAGGGGATATAGAAGAACCTTCACTCGAAACTATGTCTGTCCGTGTGAACGAATACTCTATGAGTCGACCGCATAAGGTCGTCATTCGGGACAGACAACCTGTAACTCCCCATAGCTCGCTGGTTATCCTTTTTGGTTCTAAGACGGAACAGTAAGCACTTTGGATAAATCTTTATTTCGGTATCGATTTAGGAACTTTTGAAATGTTTTTGATAATCAAGTTTGGCTCGGGCTCTAGGCAAATGACAACATCATAGCTTTAAGGGTGTTAATAAAAGTTTTACTAAAGAAATATGATAAATCTGTACATCAGCTTAATTTTCTTATGTATCATGCACAAAGGTACGAAACTGATGACGATACAGCGAACATTAGACATTAAGCAACATGCAGATGTGTATCCGAAGAGTTCAAGGATACTTTAGTCTTCAGTCTTCATGTATACCTCACCTTGTCCTATTACATACCTGTGTAACGATTGGCAAGCCCAATAAGAATGCTCCCAAACAGACACAAAGTCGGAATAAGATCTGTCTCTTCCTTGTGCTGATATATTGAGGAAACTCGTCGATCATGGCGGTCATAACTGTCTCAACGATGGAAAACTGCAAGGAAGTTAAGATTGTTAACTTATTACTTGCAAATAAAGCGACAAAACCCTTTGCATATCCAATAGAAATGTCTGCATAAAGCAGTCGATTGCACGATTTAGACTATATCATAAGCATGTGTTTATGAATCACTATCAAATGTTTGCGAAAAAGGTGAGCGTATCCAGACACACCGATAGCACCCGTCACAAACACATGCAAAGTTAAGTCAATTTTCACCTTAAAAGTCCGGGAACATATGGATCTTTATGCATATAGCTAAATATGAAACAGATGAGGCGGTCTTGTTGGTCTCCTTTATTCTAGTTCAGGTGGGTAAATCAGTGGAAGGGAGTTGGCTATTTGATTGTTATTGAACGATATCAATAACATCATCGATATACCTGAAGCTTAAGTTAAAGTTCTAGGCCAACCCAGTCTAATCTTGTCATAAAATGAATCATCAATTGAAGCGTGCCTTGGATGGGTAAGTATGGATCTGTGGCATTTAATGAATACACATACACTATCTCCAGTGTTATCAGATACAAGGGTTTCGGCCCTGTCCTACGTTATAGTATGAGTTACAGATAAATTTGAAACATTGGTATGGAAATGATCCTGCAACCGCTTGTAAGTTTTGGACTTCATACATGTACATGATCAAATACACAAGTATGCCTTAAATGAGTGAAAATGGCTGATTTTTAGAGCGTCAAGAGAATATTAGCAAATCTGATACCCGACCTGAATTTTTTATCATATATTTGTATTGATTTCATTCATCTACACAAGCGTTCAGCTTACAGTGCAGGTCAAAGACGTATGTTCAAATTTTAGAAAAGAAATTCCACACAGTTTTCTTTACACATATAGCATTTGTATACATGTATAATTTACCTTTACATTTAGTTTTGTTACAAATATAGAACATGCAAGAGTTGAATGGACCAAGTCTCTCTTTCATACACATCTAATAACTTTTATAAACTATACCAAAGGTGTTGTTAATTCTTTTTCTTATGTTACACAGACCACGTTATAATACTTTGTTCTTTCGTTGTACACATGTACTGATTAAAAGGCAGCAACACCCGACACACATTGTAGCCGGCATTACACAATGGGATGAACAATTCCATAGTGTTACTGAATGGGATGAACAATTCCATAGTGTTACTGAATGGGATGAACAATTCCATAGTGTTACTGAATGGGATGAACAATTCCATAGTGTTACTGAATGGGATGAACAATTCCATAGTGTTACTGAATGGGATGAACAATTCCATAGTGTTACTGAATGGGATGAACAATTCCATAGTGTTACTGAATGGGATGAACAATTCCATAGTGTTTCTGAATGGGATGAACAATTCCATAGTGTTACTGAATGGGATGAACAATTCCATAGTGTTACTGAATGGGATGAACAATTCCATAGTGTTACTGAATGGGATGAACAATTCCATAGTGTTACTGAATGGGATGAGGCTAAGAGTTACAGTTAAAGCTTTTCTTTGAACATGTATAATATGACCCTCTATGAAAGCTCTTAAAAGCTGTTGTTATTTTCCAGTGTTACCTGAACATTCTTTCTTTTTAAATTCTTAGGCATGTGTTGGGTAAAAAGAGATGTTGAAAGTGATTCTATTTGCTTGTTTCTCCCAATCAAGATGAGTACCGTTATGTTACACCACATTTTGAACTCGTAGTATACAGTGCCATGTAGTGCCAGTACTCCAGTTTTGCCCGGGCAGTGCGTAGGGATGGGCTGGAGTGGGAAAACTCACTTGCGAACTGAAGCCGAGGGTGCACAGCATGATGAAGAACAGGATGGACCATAGGGGTGTGATGGGCATGTTAGACAGGGCCTCCGGATAGGCAATGAAAGCTAAGCCGGGCCCTGAAAATGAATCAAGACACATCATAACAACAACCGGGCGGTCGGGGAGTCTAGTGGTTAAAGCGTTCGCTCGTCACGCCAAAGACCCGGGTTCGATGCCCGACGTGGGTATAATGTGTGAAGCCCATTTCTGGTGTCCCCCGCCGTGATATTGCTGGAATATTGCTAAAAGCGGCGTAAAACCATACTCACTCACTCACTTATAACAACCATTACAAAATGCATTGCCTAATTAGAGCATAACACAGAGAGATACACGTATATAGAGTTACGAAAACGTGTTTCCTATTGTAAGAGTTTCCTTATTCTCATATATTCCCTACATATAAAGGGACTGGCCATTTACAGGAGTAGACCGATTTATTGTTCCTGTAGTAATGAGAAACCCATGAATGTGTTCAACACGATGAGTATAGTTATCAGAGAAACATCACAAGTTGGAGGTCTAGACACCTGGGCGGTCGGGTAGCCTAGTGGTTAAAGCGTTCGTTCGTCACGCCGATGACCCGGGTTCGATGCCCGACGTGGGTACAATGTGTGAAGCCCATTTCTGGTGTCCCCCGCCGTGATATTGCTGGAATATTGCTAAAAGCGGCGTAAAACCATACTCACTCACTCTAGACACCTATCCGTGATCTTGAAATTCAATGCATAGTATGACTGTCACTTCAAATCGAAACATATGATTATTACCACATACCGTATTATTAGTGACGGAATCGCCACTATCCATGGAAACATATAATTAATACGACATAACGTATATGCATCAATAACATAAGTCTGATTACACGTGGAACAAGCTATAGGCGAATGTCATTCCATATCTCGCAAGCAGCGAGAACAATTCCATAGTGTTACTGTCATAGAGAACAATTCCATAGTGTTACTGTCATAGAGAACAATTCCATAGTGTAACTGTCATTGAGAACAATTCCATAGTGTTACTGTCATAGAGAACAATTCCATAGTGTTACTGTCATAGAGAACAATTCCATAGTGTTACTGTCATTGAGAACAATTCCATAGTGTTACTGTCATTGAGAACAATTCCATGGTGTTACTGTCATTGAGAACAATTCCATAGCGTTACTTTCATTGAGAACAATTCCATAGTGTTACTGTCATAGAGAACAATTCCATAGTGTTACTGTCATTGAGAACAATTCCATAGTATTACTGTCATTGAGAACAATTCCATGGTGTTACTGTCGTTGAGAACAATTCCATAGTGTTACTGTCATTGAGAACAATTCCATAGTGTTACTGTCATAGAGAACAATTCCATAGTGTTACTGTCATTGAGAACAATTCCATAGTATTACTGTCATTGAGAACAATTCCATGGTGTTACTGTCGTTGAGAACAATTCCATAGTGTTACTTTCATTGAGAACAATTCCATAGTGTTACTGTCATAGAGAACAATTCCATAGTGTTACTGTCATTGAGAACAATTCCATAGTATTACTGTCATTGAGAACAATTTCATGGTGTTACTGTCGTTGAGAAAAATGTCATAGTGTTACTTTCATTGAGAACAATTCCATAGTGTTACTGTCGTTGATAACAATTCCATAGTGTTACTGTCATCGAGAACAATTCCATAGTGTTACTGTCATAGAGAACAATTCCATAGTGTTACTGTCATAGAGAACAATTCCATAGTGTTACTGTCATTGAGAACAATTCCACAGTATTACTGTCATTGAGAACAATTCCATAGTATTACTGTCATTGAGAACAATTCCATAGTGTTACTGTCATTGAGAACAATTCCATGGTGTTACTGTCGTTGAGAACAATTCCATAGTGTTACTGTCATTGAGAACAATTCCATAGTGTTACTGTCATAGAGAACAATTCCATAGTGTTACTGTCATTGAGAACAATTCCATTGTATTACTGTCACTGAGAACAATTCCATAGTGTTACTGTCGTTGAGAACAATTCCATAGTGTTACTGTCATAGAGAACAATTCCACAGTGTTACTGTCATTGAGAACAATTCCATAGTGTTACTGTCATAGAGAACAATTCCATAGTGTTACTGTCGTTGAGAACAATTCCATAGTGTTACTTTCATTGAGAACAATTCCATAGTGTTACTGTCATAGAGAACAATTCCATAGTGTTACTGTCATTGAGAACAATTCCATAGTATTACTGTCATTGAGAACAATTCCATGGTGTTACTGTGGTTGAGAACAATGTCATAGTGTTACTGTCATTGAGAACAATTCCATAGTGTTACTGTCGTTGAGAACAATTCCATAGTGTTACTGTCATTGAGAACAATTCCATAGTGTTACTGTCATTGAGAACAATTCCATAGTGTTACTGTCATTGAGAACAATTCCATAGTATTACTATCATTGAGAACAATTCCACGGTGTTACTGTCGTTGAGAACAATTTCATGGTGTTACTGTCATTGAGAACAATTCCATAGTGTTACTGTCATAGAGAACAATTCCATATTGTTACTGTCATTGAGAACAATTCCATAGTATTACTGTCATTGAGAACAATTCCATGGTGTTACTGTCGTTGAGAACAATTCCATAGTGTTACTGTCATAGAGAACAATTCCACAGTGTTACTGTCATTGAGAACAATTCCATAGTGTTACTGTCACAGAGAACGATTCCATAATGTTACTGTCGTTGAGAACAATTCCATAGTGTTACTGTCATTGAGAACAATTCCATAGTGTTACTGTCATTGAGAACAATTCCATAGTGTTACTGTCATTGAGAACAATTCCACAGTGTTACTGTCATTGAGAACAATTCCATGGTGTTACTGTCATAGAGAACAATTCCATAGTGTTACTGTCGTTGAGAACAATTCCATAGTGTTACTGTCATTGAGAACAAATCCATAGTGTTACTGTCATTGAGAACAATTCCACAGTGTTACTGTCATTGAGAACAATTCCACAGTGTTACTGTCATAGAGAACAATTCCATAGTGTTACTGTCGTTGAGAACAATTCCATAGTGTTACTGTCATTGAGAACAATTCCATAGTGTTACTGTCATTGAGAACAATTCCATAGTGTTACTGTCATTGAGAACAATACCATAGTGTTACTGTCGTTGAGAACAATTCCACAGTGTTACTGTCATTGAGAACAATTCCATAGTGTTACTGTCATAGAGAACAATTCCATAGTGTTACTGTCATAGAGAACAATTCCATAGTGTTACTGTCATTGAGAACAATTCCATAGTGTTACTGTCATAGAGAACAATTCAATAGTGTTACTGTCATAGAGAACAATTCCATAGTGTTACTGTCATTGAGAACAATTCCATAGTGTTACTGTCATTGAGAACAATTCCATAGTGTTACTGTCATAGAGAACAATTCCATAGTGTTACTGTCATAGAGAACAATTCCATAGTGTTACTGTCATAGGGAACAATTCAATAGTGTTACTGTCATAGAGAACAATTCTATAGTGTTACTGTCATTGAGAACAATTCCATAGTGTTACTGTCATAGAGAACAATTCCATAGTGTTACTGTCATTGAGAACAATTCCATAGTGTCACTGTCATTAAGAACAATTCCATGGTGTTACTGTCATTGAAAACAATTCCATGTTATTACTGTCATTGAGAAAAGGATATTACTCAGGCATAGTATTTGTGAAAGCATCTTCCTTAGTGCCTCGTTGTTATTGAGTTGTATGTGTAAGCAGTATCCTACCTCCAGCCGTGACATTGGCTACAGGTACTCCCTGTATGTTAGCCATGTAGCCCAGTGTCGAGAACACCACGAACCCAGCATAGAAGCTCGTCAGGCAGTTTATGATTGGAATCATTATGGCATCCCTGGATAAACAGAAACAACGAAAGAATTATTGAATTATTATTATTTACAGATATAAATTAACTAGAGAAAACTGTAGAAGACATTTATATCAATAATTTATGTGCAGTCTCTAGCTTTCTGGAAAAAAAAACCCTTATAAGATTAAAAAGCATGAAAAACAATAATTATATCTGGGTCTTAATGAACTTATCAGAGCATAGATAGAGAATGTGAATACACGAACTATGTTTCCCTCTGTGTTTTTTGTGCAGCAGCGAAAGGTCACCTCAAACAGAGAGTTTGTACAAAGGTATTTAATTATAAGAATATTTTATGCACATCTACAACTTGAAAACTCGCGATCCGACAACTAATAATAGATATGCATGTCATTTGATCGTGGTCACATTTAGAGAACCAACTGGGGTAAAAACTCTCCCTATATCATTTCTGGTAAATAAAACTAAAGGCTAATTTTGGAAAAGTACCTTAGTACGTTGTTGGAGAATTTGTTGTAGCTTGCCATGGCAACAAGGCCGCCCTGGCAGGCGCTGAGCGAGAAGAAGATCTGGACAGCAGCGTCGCTCCATACCTTTAATTGGGAACATTGTGTCATATCCTAGTTACATCACTAGATCTGCGGGTCTACTTCCATAGTCTTAGACCCCGTTATGTTCTATCTGGGTTTATGTAATGGAGACCATTTATGTCTTACCTATTTACATATAATCGAAGACTTATGATATACCTCGTTCAATATACTAGAAACCGTATACGATATTCCTCGTGTCATATTCTGGAAACGTATACCATATACCTTGTGGTATATACTGGAAACTTATACAATAAACCTTGTTCCATGTACTGGAAACGTATACAATATTCCTTCTGTCTTTTACTGGAAACGTATACAATATACCTTGTTCCATGTACTGGAAACTTATACAATATACCTTGTTCCATGTACTGGAAACTTATACCATATACCTTGTGGCATATACTGGAAACCTATACAATATACCTTGTTCGATGTACTGGAACCTAATACAATATACCTTGTGTCATATACTGGAAACTTTTACAATATACCTTGTGTCATATACTGGAAACTTATACAATATTCCTTCTGCCTTATACTGGAAACTTATACGATATACCTTGTGTGATATACTGGAAACATACGATATACCTTGTGTCATATACTGAAACATACGATATACCTTGTGTGATATACTGGAAACATACGATATACCTTGTGTCATATACCGGAAATTTATACAATATACCATGGGTCATATACTGGCAACATATAATATACCATGGGTCATATACTGGAAACATACGATATACCTTTTGTCATATACTGGAAACATACAATATACCATGGGTCATATGCTGGAAACATACGATATACTATGGGTCATATACTGGAAACATACGATATACCTTGTGTCATATACTGGAAACATACAATATACCATGGGTCATATGCTGGAAACATACTATATTCCAAGTGGCATTTACTCGAAACAGTTTACGATACACCTAGCTTTCTTATTGGAAGCACTACACGATATATCTGATGCCACATACCGCAAACCTAACACGATAGTCACTTAGTGTCATATACTGAACACCGTATACGATATACCTAGTGTCATATACTGGAAACCATTTACAAATGTAATGTGTACCCTATCAAAAAAGAAATTGTCTCAAGAATGTAATTCGTACTTTTCTTTTAACATGTGAATGTCGTGTTACTAGTCCTTATAGAAACGACTGTATTTGTCCTGGGCTTATCTATATAATTGTTTTGTTTTGCGCCAACAGCGGAAGGATTGGCATACATTTAAGCTCATTTTATCATTTTGACTATTCAATGTGACATATAGGCGCTTAGCAAAAAACAACACACACACACACACACACACACACACACACACACACACACACACACACACACACACACACACACACACACGCACAAACGCACAAACGCACACATTAGACATTACATTTCTTACGTATGTCATATATTAAGGGCATATTTGTTCAGTACATAGGGGCAGGAAGCCTGTACACAACTTCCACAGCCTCCATGTCAGAAAGGATTGCTATTTGAAAGACTTTACATGCAGCAATGTATCATGTTAATCAAAACTTTGTAAAAATACGTAAACAAAATATATACACCTTCTCTAAGTTTAGAATGAACCTTTCCTGGAGACTTACCGTGGCATCGGTGAGCCTGTCCCATTTGGGGGTGAGGTAGAAGATGATTCCGTCGATAGCGCCATCCAGCATCGCTCCTCGAATCAGAAGGACTGTCAGGAGGATGTATGGAAAGATGGCCGTGAAATAAACAACCTGAAATATGTACCATGAAATAGACAACCTGAAATATATACCATGAAATAGACAACCGGAAATACCAAACTAAAATTACACAACCACACAACCATTGTGTTCCTCCAGCCGAACGTGAACAGAAGCATGCCCTTATTTTTCACTGTTTTCAGCAACACACTATTTAGCGTGTGAAGTGGTGTGTAGAGTGAAACCAGGTGAGTCCGGACAACCTGCAATGAGGTTATGCCCAATCAGCTGTACATCATTGGCATTACATTTACGTTCCATCTATTCGTTAAACCTATGTCTCATGATTTCTTCATCCGAATGATTTCCTTGCAAGTAAACGTGAACCATACACATGCTTACACATGGGTTACTTCTATCGGAAGCCCTGTTTCCTCAGACTGAGCGAGTGCAATACCTTTCCAAGTGACTGGATCCCTTTGGCTAAGACAATCATCACGATGATCCAGGCGAGAAGGTTGCACAACATTATCTGCCAGTTGATCTGCCCCGTCTCCGCTATACTGGCCGTTTCTTGTAGCACAATATCTCTGGCAATATGTAAATAATAATAATAATAATAATAACAACAACAACAACAACAACATCATCAACAACACCATCAACAACAACAATAATAATAAAAAATAATAATAATGCGCTCTTATAACAGTTAAACTCTTTACAACAATATATATTTGAGAGGGTTCTATATATTAGAACCCGGTATTTTCCTTAGTTGTACCAAACCAGGTGTATGTCCATACCTGTTGTCATCTCCACTATGTTGCTATACATTGGGCACTGAGGTTGTGGTATTTTCGATAAAAATATGACTGAAGCTACTTTCAAACAACAAAGCCCCCACAGAACACTATTTACGCGTCTATCTATACCTGTACATGCACCTGACTTTCTGAAAAAAACACATTGCAAACATTCTAACTGCAGGCTTCAACTACTCAACAGCTTTCGTATGAAAGTGTACCTCACCTGTAGTATAATTCACTCGATGATTTTGTATCCCCCAGCCAGCCAGCTGAAACACAATAAAACAAGCCAACTGTCATGTGCTTAAACAACACTCAGCCTTGATATACATCAACATTTTATACTGAATCCTTCTTGGTGATGATAGAATTATGAAGCAACCGGCTGGCCATTACTCAGACCATAGGCCAATCATATGCAATTGTTAAAGGGAATAGTTAATGTGCTATCCTGCAATATACATTTAAGAAACTGACAGTGATAAAGAAGATAATATAACTAATGAAAATACTAGAATCATTATCATCTAATTATTAGTATTACTGATAACAATATTATTATCCATTGGCATGGTTATGGTGAAATTATTTCCAGCATAACAACGCAGCGATGTAAATAATCGACGATGACGTCAATGTTTATAAATAATGATATACAAAGTATGTCTCACAACACTTGAAACAACCCTTACAATGTGCACTCAAATTGCATTCTCAGCTCCCTAGGGAATATAAGAGTCTCAGCTCCACCCACTTGTATACTTAATCTTACAAAAGAGTCAATAAAATATACTAGTATCAGGTACGTTACGAACCGTGCATGAATAGATATGTAGATGGGTTTGGCTAATTTTAACGTTAAGCTTGTACTACGTACTGCAGTTAATTCCGGTGGCGTTGTCATAAGCTGGGGTGATATTTCTTCCGTATGTAAGGCATTCACATTGCGAACATTTCGACCATGGCACCACATCCGTCATAGAGGCAAATAAATAGTAAAGTCCCCAGGCAATGATGACGTCATAATAAATGCAGATGACAGTCGACACCAACACTCCGGCATAACCAATACCTGGACATTAACAAATACAACTGCCATTATCAGACGTGTGTGTAACATTGGATATTCACGTAGTCGGAAATGTCATAATAAGTGAAAAACGCTTACATTTATTTTGATGCATTTTATTTTCATCAGTGTTCCTCACGGTCGTTTTATTGTTATCGATTTTACAAAGCGACCTTTACACATTTGGTGCTAGTGTTTTAAAAAAAGGACAGTAACCTACTTATTATCATGTATGTTTTCTCATTAATCCAGCTTGGGGGAATAAGGTGTGTTTAGCATGTCCTTGCTCGTATGTTGTATAAATTCAGAAATTCTTTGGACAGATACGACAGCATTTGTGGCATTGTTCCTTGTTCTAACCTTTCATCGCTGGGTTTATATACCAAATGCTTATTGGTCCTTTTGCACCAAACTGTCCGAAGGCAACCTCCAGGCCAAATATAGGGATGCCAAGAAAAACCAGACATATTAAGTAGGGAATAAGGAAAGCTCCTGAAAATAATATAAATAAAATCACGGAATAATTATATATCATAAACAATCAGTAGCAATGCACAAAAAGCTGATTTTGCCTACATAATATCAGCTGATATATATTTTGAATATACGAGCACGTTATGGCAATGAGTACTATGAATCTTAAATGTGTACCTCGGAGACATTCTTTTCAAATAAATCCACTTTGCACACGTAGCCTGTGTTGTATGAACGGTTCCGTTTAATTTCAACATTTATTATCCAAGTTGAATCTCAATCATTTCTAAAAATATCACTGTTCCAATATTATTTTCAATAAAGTGGTGATTAACTATATTAGTAAAAATGTGATAACTAATAAAGCTACATTTACATCTAAAATATTACATACATCATCAATTTAAGAAGATGCTAAACACTACAAACCTCCTCCATTTTTATAACACAGATATGGGAATCTCCACACGTTGCCCAGGCCAACAGCATACCCAACCAAGGTGAAGATGAACTCGATCTGTCGACCCCACTGAGCCCGCTCTTTTGGATCCTCCTGCAGATAAAGGTAGGACAGTATATGACTGACTGTAGAAGTACAATATATAACTAATTGTAGTAGTACAGTATATGACTGACTGTAGTAAGACAGTATATGACTGACTGTAGAAGTACAATATATAACTAATTGTAGTAGTACAGTATATCACTGACTGTAGTAGGACAGTATATGACTGACTGTAGAAGTACAATATATAACTAATTGTAGTAGTACAGTATATGACTAACTGTAGAAGTACAATATATAACTAATTGTAGTAGTACAGTATATGACTGACTGTAGTGGTACAGTATATGACTGACTGTAGAAGTACAATATATAACTAATTGTAGTAGTACAGTATATGACTGACTGTAGTAGGACAGTATATGATTGACTGTAGAAGTACAATATATAACTAATTGTAGTGGTACAGTATATGACTGACTGTAGAAGTACAATATATAACTAATTGTAGTAGTACAGTATATGACTGACTGTAGTAGTACAGTATATGACTGACTGTAGGGGTACAGTATATGACTGACTGTAGTAGTACAGTATATGACTGACTGTAGGGGTACAGTATATGACTGACTGTAGTGGTACAGTATATGACTGACTGTAGAAGTACAATATATAACTAATTGTAGTAGTACAGTATATGACTGAATGTAGTAGTACAGTATATCACTGACTGTAGTAGCGCAACATATGGCTGACTGTAGTAGTACAGTATATGACTGACTGTACGGGTACAGTATATGACTGACTGTAGTGGTACAGTATATGACTGACTGTAGAAGTACAATATATAACTAATTGTAGTAGTACAGTATATGACTGACTGTAGTAGTACAGTATATGACTGACTGTAGGGGTACAGTATATGACTGACTGTAGTAGTACAGTATATGACTAACTGTAGTAGTACAGTATATGACTGACTGTAGTAGTACAGTATATGACTGACTGTAGTAGTACAGTATATGACTGACTGTAGTGGTACAGTATATGACTGACTGTAGAAGTACAATATATAACTAATTGTAGTAGTACAGTATATGACTGACTGTAGTAGTACAGTATATGACTGACTGTAGGGGTACAGTATATGACTGACTGTAGTAGTACAGTATATGACTAACTGTAGTAGTACAGTATATGACTGACTGTAGTAGTACAGTATATGACTGACTGTAGTAGTACAGTATATGACTGACTGTAGTGGTACAGTGTATGACTGACTGTAGTGGTACAGTATATGACTGACTGTAGTAGCACAGTATATGACTGACTGTAGTAGTACAGTATATGACTGACTGTAGTGGTACAGCATATGACTGACCGTAGTGGTACAGTATATGACTGACTGTAGTAGCACAGTATATGACTAACTGTAGTAGCACAGTATATGACTGACTGTAGTAGCACAGTATATAACTGACTGTAGTAGTACAGTATATAACTGACTGTAGTAGTACAGTATATGACTGACTGTAATAGTACATCATATTACTGACTAAAGTGGTACAGCATATGACTGACTGTAGTAGTACAGTATATGACTGACTGTAGGGGTACATTATATGACTGACTGTAGTAGTACAGTATATGACTAACTGTAGTAGTACAGTATATGACTGACTGTAGTAGTACAGTATATGACTGACTGTAGGGGTACAGTATATGACTGACTGTAGTAGTACAGTATATGACTAACTGTAGTAGTACAGTATATGACTGACTGTAGTAGTACAGTATATCACTGACTGTAGTAGCGCAACATATGGCTGACTGTAGTAGTACAGTATATCACTGACTGTACGGGTACAGTATATGACTGACTGTAGTGGTACAGTATATGACTGACTGTAGAAGTACAATATATAACTAATTGTAGTAGTACAGTATATGACTGACTGTAGTAGTACAGTATATGACTGACTGTAGGGGTACAGTATATGACTGACTGTAGTAGTACAGTATATGACTGACTGTAGTAGTACAGTATATGACTGACTGTAGTGGTACAGTATATGACTGACTGTAGTGGTACAGTATATGACTGACTGTAGTAGCACAGTATATGACTAACTGTAGTAGTACAGTATATAACTGACTGTAGTAGTACAGTATATGACTGACTGTAGTAGTACAGTATATGACTGACTGTAGTGGTACAGTATATGACTGACTGTAGTGGTACAGTATATGACTGACTGTAGTAGCACAATAGATAACTAATTGTAGTAGTACAGTATATGACTGACTGTAGTAGTACAGTATATCACTGACTGTAGTAGCGCAACATATGGCTGACTGTAGTAGTACAGTATATGACTGACTGTAGTGGTACAGCATATGACTGACTGTAGTAGTACAGTATATGACTGACTGTAGTGGTACAGCATATGACTGACTGTAGTAGTACAGTATATGACTGACTGTAGTAGTACAGTATATGACTGACTGTAGTGGTACAGTATATGACTGACTGTAGTAGCACAGTATATGACTATCTGTAGTAGTACAGTATATGACTGACTGTAGTGGTACAGCATATGACTGACTGTAGTGGTACAGTATATGACTGACTGTAGTAGCACAGTATATGACTAACTGTAGTAGTACAGTATATGACTGACTGTAATAGTACATCATATTACTGACTATAGTGGTACAGCATATGACTGACTGTAGTAGTACAGTATATGACTGACTGTAGTAGTACATCATATGACTGACTGTAGTGGTACAGCATATGACTGACTGTAGTAGTACAGCATATGACTGACTGTAGTAGTACAGTATATGACTGACTGTAGCAGTACAGTATATGACTAGCTGTACCAGTACAGCATATGACTGGCTGTAGTGGTACAGTATATGACTGACTGTAGTACTACAGTATATGACTGACTGTAGTAGTATAGCATATGACTGACTGTAGTAGTACAGCATATGACTGACTGTAGTGGTACAGGATACGACTGTCTGTAGTAGTACAGTATATGACTAGCTGTACCAGTACAGTATATGACTGGCTGTAGTGGTACAGTATATGACTGACTAGTAGTACAGTATATGACTGACTGTAGCAGTACAGTATATGACTAGCTGTACCAGTACAGTATATGACTGGCTGTAGTGGTACAGTATATGAATGACTGTTGTAGTAGAGTATATGACTGACTGTAGTAGTAAAAGCCGATCTTTTTCATCCGTGTAAATGTCAGATGGGTGTCACACAAGCAAGTCTTGCCATTAAAGCAGATATGGTAGATGCATCAGTTCAATGCGGCGCATCAGTGATACTGTACGGGTTTGTTTTCCCGTGCACCTTCATATGCGTGTCGTTTTCTTTTCTGTGTTGCAACATGAACATATTTCTCAAACGTTTTTCTTTATTTAAAATCTCTGCACTTGTTCACAGCAGACACATTTCAAAATTAACATCGTTTCCAGTTCAAACACAATCAGTAACTGCACTATCGGCTCACTGGAGTTTCTTGTCCATCACTAACGTGAGTGTCTGGCTTGTTTACAGGCCGCCGTTGCATGACAGGAGTACAACTGTGCGGCGTCAGGCAACAAACACTAACTGTTTGTGCCAGCTGCATGAGTGACAGGTAGGACAGGTCATGCTTACTCCTCAATTTGCCTTTACGACACGAAAAATGGAAACTGTTTCGGCGGATAATCGAGACTTACTATTACAGTCACTACACCCATTCAGCCAATTGTACGCCTATCATCATCACTATGCCGATAAGTCGGCTCATTGGTCGGCGGCCGTTCTAGTTTGTTTGTGAAGAGTTAACGAGTGCGCTTTAAAGCGTACAAATCTAAATACACGTGCTGACCAAAGATTATTTTGTGACAGTTTGAAAGTAGAGGTCATCCCTCATGGCATACAGTCTTGTGAGAGTGTTAAGTCACTCTGATTCTTTATGCATAGATCTTAATATGAAACAGGTGAGGCAGTTCAGGTGGGTGAGTCAGTGGAAGGGAGTTGGCTCTGTGATGGTTATTGAAGGACGTCAGATCATTTGCGAAGCTTAAACCAAAATTACTTTTGTTCACTCTGCCAATCCGAACAGAAATTCCGAACCATATGCATATTAAAGAAACAGATCAGCACGAAGGGGAACACAACTGGTGTCCATGGGGATGCCTCCTCTTTGCCGAAATATTTTACTCCCAAATCTTACATCGATGTTATCAAAGAGGAAGTCCAGCATTTCACATATTGTTTTCTCAGTAAACTTCAGATGACATTTGCTTTCATTTTAAAAACATTGTCCTGAACCTCTGACGATAGATACGTAACTATATATATTGTCATCACGTTTTGTAACAAAAGCCCCATGTGATGTCTATACAAAATATATCGCCATGTAGTCATTATACGGTAAACAATGGAAACTGTACCACATATAATGTGAATGAAATATAAATGAATTTCCCAAATAATTTTAAACCTAGACACACGACAGCGAACTGGGATTCGAGTCCACTGTCATGGCTTTATGGAACGCCTAAGGGCTGAAACTCTGCAAAGCGAAAAGCGGAGCCTTTCACGAATAGGTTACTCATGCCTCTAGTCGCTCTCCCGCGATAATAATTTAATGTTGAAGTAAACGTAAGGTCTCACGGTGCGATTTGTGGAAATAATGAAGACCGAAACAACCAGTATGGTTATGTTGTCGTATACATATTGCATCTAGTTAGATTCTCACTAATGTATCGTCAAAATCGATTTATCGAGCTGATAAATAGTCCGGTTTCCTCTCCGGTAAAATCAATGATGTCAACATAAAGGGACGTCACTCTGACATGATGTCAACATAAAGGGACGTCACTCTGACATGATGTCAACATAAAGGGACGTCACTCTGACATGATGTCAACATAACGGGACGTTACTCTGAGGTTGTAATGTTACAGTACTACACATTGCACAGTGAGAGCGCACCTCTATCAAGCTGCATTGTATCAATACTCGATCCATT